TGATTTTTACTTTTCGATTGACAGGGTACGCTACGCATATTTCCTCACGGACAACATCAACCATCACTGGCCCAGGTAAGGTATAAAAGAAGCAGGTTTGAACTCTAGAAATGTGTAATTCTTATAAAAGGGAAACTCTCCCGAGCTTTTCGAAGCCATATCCTCAAAGCAAGAAATGATTACAGGGTCCCTTTCTCGAGTCGTACTCAGTCGTACTCATGCACTGGTACGTCAGTCGTACTCAGTCGTATCGTACGCGGAGAGTACACAAAGTTATATATAACGATGCTCAGGGGTGCGACGATCCCCCCCCCCCCCCTCACACACACACACACACACACACACACACACCCCTTTTGTTTAGGATTCTTTTTCATTAAAACAAAATCTCTAAAATTCCGTCTTGTATATAAACACAAATTCTTCGATATCCACACAAATTCTGCAATTCAATGACTAGAATCACACGTTTTGAAAGAGAATTTTGCGTATAAGATATGTAGACACTTAAAACACAAATTTGGCCCCAGAAACCCAAGTAGCCCTGGCGAAATCACTTCTTAAATCTGTTAAAGCAATAGAGTAAAAACCCGCATATGAGAACCTAGTGATTTAAGAACCTACAGGCTGAAATGTGGCATTTGAATACTCAAAAATAAAAGAACCCGTTTAGCCTGGCAAAGAAAAATAGGTTCTTATACAAAAAAAATCACTCCAATTGTGATGGTCAAAATTCTGGATTTAATTGTGTGAGAAACTTCTGACAAAAAGCAAGAGAGGATAAAGGGGACAGAGAAGGCATCCCCCATACACACCCTATTCCATATTTCGCTTCAATATTCAGGAATGCTCTCGATCTCTTTACGCTTTCATGCCTTTCGCCCGACATGTTTTGCACGGCGTTTAGTCATGCGAAACCTCGACGAAACATCCACGCAGCGCGCGAGGTAACCTTACCCCGATTCTAAAAAATAACTCGAGACGAATTACCTATGGAATAGGGTGTGTATGGGGGATACCTTCTCTGTCCCCTTTATCCTCTCTTGTAAAAAGCTATTGTGTACATGTTTTCTTCGATTTACATTTGCTTGGATTTTCACTAGAAATATGTTTTCCATAAACCATTATGTCTTAGTAGAACTACAATATTTCTGCCAATGGTTACATTACGACAACCTCTGAAAAATAAGAAGCCAATCAGCCTGAATTGTGTATGTAAGAACCTGTTCAGCCTGACCTCGAAAATTCTAGGTTCTTGTATGCCGGCTTATGCTGTATTTCAATATTTCAGCGGTCGTATTTAACTAATTTCTAATCTTTTTTTTTTTTTTTTCAGGACAAGCGCTTAAACACATTCCCTCTCATGTGCTTAGCCAAGTTGTTGAGAGTCTCAACCTCCCCAGTCCATTAGGAAATGACTGGAAGGGTGTTGCCGGAGAGATGTTGTTACCATACAAGACTGTGATGAGCTTAGATCATCACAGCTCTGAAGGCAGAATGAGTGGCATTCTACAAATTATGTTCGAGAAGAAATTTACAGCGGGCGACTTTGTAGATCTTTTACAGAAAATACAAAGACCTGATGTTATCGAAATTCTCATTGAAGCCGGATTCCCAAGGAACAGTATCCGTGAAAAAGAAAATGGTGAGCAGTACTTTTAAGAATTTGGAATGCAGTGAATTCGAACCACATAACGCACACTAAAACTCTTAGCTGTTTCTTCTTTTCAGATTTCTTTACGTTATGATGAGCGTAATAGGCATTATTTTTGCTTATAAATAAAGCAACTTCATTGGAAGGTTGGCACTATGAACCTGACGGAGTCGAGTTATCCAAGTTGAAATGTTGGCCCGATCACTACAAAGTTGAGCCTAACCTGTCACATGTCTTTTCATAACTTGCACAGTTCTCTCCTCAAAAAAGGTTTACTGGCTTCTGAATGCAATGTAAGCAATGATTTAGGCTAGCTTTCATTCAGTGTTTCATCTCTTTTTAGATGAAGAGGATTCCCACAGCTCCTTACAAGAATTTGCCATAACAACACCTCAAATTAGTAGCCTTACTACAAGAAGTGTATGCGCAAGAAACGACAAGTCATGCGATAACAAGAAGGCTAGTGGAGACAACATCCATGAAGAATGCGAAATAAATAATGGTGATCATGCAGTTTTTCGACATTGTCCGTGAAGAAGTTGTCGAGACTCAAGAAAGCAATTCAACGGGAACAGACATTGAAGCAATGTCGTTGAAAGACCATAGTCCAGTATACTTTTGTGTTAATTGATAGCATGGCTAGTTTTCTACTTAACTTGAAGAAAAATTAATTGTCAGATTGAAGGAATCATTTGCGTTACCTAAGATTGCCATATCCTTGAACGTTTTTCCATTTCTTTATAGTCCTATCTTTTGGGTGTTGACTTGGCAACTTTATACTTCGCAACGGTTTTTTTATATATATACTTTGTTGTATTTAACTCCCATGACCGACTACAGAAACGCTATTTTCAGAGAGCTGTTAACGAAATGATTTTCAATTCATAAGGCAACCCATAATAAATTTGAAGCCTAGTGTTGTTTTTGAAAGACCGACTGTTTTAACATCACAGATACTTTCGTCACTTTTAACACTGAAACAAATGACACCAATGTTAAGAAGTTATCCGCCTTTCATTGTTCATTTAGTCATCCTATTTTTTATATAAGGTTTTTCAGTTGTTTTTATTTTTTTAGAATTTTATCAATTTTAATTTTCACATCACTGCACGAAAAATTGGATTTACACAAATTCACTCGGTGCAAATATGGTGCACAAAAAGTGCAAACTAGGGGGAAATCAAAAGCAGATGGTAAATACCGCATTTGCTTACCAGTTTACATGGTGTTGTAAATTTGAGGGCAAATGCGGTATTTACCATCTTTGCCCTTTATTTAACCTTAGTTTGAACTTTTTTCCACTAAATTTGGACTGAGAAATTTTGGTGTAAATCGAATTTTTCGTGAGGTGCATGTACAGTGCCCAGTCTGTACCCTGTTGAAAACCACTTAGTGACTTAAGCCACCTCTTGGTAAAGGACTCTATCATTCATATGATTATTGTTATTATTACTTTTTAATATTATTATCATAATTCTTATAATTATTACTTTTATGGTGCATGCTTCACACGGCAGTTATTTCCATACCGGAAAATTTCAGTCCTATTATCAACAGGTCGCAACAAGCCACCCGCGCCTCAAAAGGACTCTTCGGAGGATCCTTGCTGATCCCAGAAACATTGTTCTTTGAAGTGTGGCCAACTCTATCCCAGTATTTATGTTTCTAAGGTAATCCTCCAATCTCTTCGGAATAGTGCCCAGTGCTCTGATAATATTTGGGACAACTTTTACACTCTTCATCTTCCACAACTCTCATTCTCGTTCAAAAAAATTATAAATCCAGTTTCCTTATGTGGTTTTTCATTTATAGTGATTTCTTCAGAATGCAATACCAGAATCACTTTGACAGCGCAGGCCAAAGGGATTGGAGCTCTGGGAACGAGAATTCAAATTTCAATTTAATTTTCTTTTTACTATTACTATTTAGCAATTAATGAATGAGGCTGAGTTGAGGCTGAGTAGGATATGAAGAATTATGCAGATCGAGGAGGGTGATAACACCCTCCAAAATCTGCATAATTCTTTTGGTATATACTAAAACAATGGCTAGTGTTTTTCGCGCGCTCTGATTGGCTACTCAGTCAGTGAATATCCTGCACTATTCACTGATTCATCTCCAGTTCCCCCGAGCGAGCGACGCCAAACTCGCGTAAGTTTCGAGCAAAATGCCTTCCCGGTTTGCGGCCGTAACAATACAAACAAGGAAATTTCACAACTAATCAAGCAAGCTGTTCCGAAATACACGAAGAAGGTGACGAAGTTCGGGGTGGAAGTTTTAACAGGTAAAGTTTTGTCTTTTTGACTTGAATTTATCGATAAAACCGGCGAAAAAGTTTTTTGTTTACAAATCCAAATTCAGCTCAAGTCTTGTGTTGCTTTTTTTAGGTGACTTGTTCATAAATAAGCTTAAAACCAAATTTCATAATCTTTTTTACAGAATGATTTTAGATACAAAAAGAATTCACAACTCCTTTTGAGGAAATTTCCCCGCAAGAGCTAAACAAATGCCTTCAAAAGTTTTATTTGTCGGCAAGAAAAAGCGACGACCGCGGCCGCTCGGTCATTGCGCGCCAAAATTGTAATCGTTGCAACAGTAAATGAGTTAAAAATCATCATTTTTGTGCTCAATTATCTCAGTGTTTTAGTATATACTAAAACAATTATTCACCTTAGTGTCGGTGGCTAGTGGTGATATATATTTACGTCGCCGCTAACGCGGCCTCGAAAAATAGGCACCACTAGCCACCTCCGGTCCACTTCGATGAATAATTGTTATATATCCTACGAAAGCCGAATTCATTAATCGCTTTATTATTCATTCAAAATAGTTCCTGGTTTTAAAACATGCTTAACTTCTTCAATGTTAAGTTCACCTTGATGTGCGCGTTAAGAAGATAAAGGGCTGTTCAGGTCTGCAAATAAACTCCAAATAGCAGATGTTGTCCGTCGATTTGTCTTCTTGCTATGTTTTTAGACAGTAGTTCGTCGTGAAACGAGTAAAATGTTCCGCCGACAGTTTGGCCATTTTTCTATTCACGACCAAAACAACTCAACCGCGTCCCCAGGTCTTCTCGGTTAACGGTGCATTAACCCGCAACTGCGCTTCACTTTTGACGTCATCGGTTGATTAATCGCAAAAACATCTTCAAGATTTGGTCAACAGTAGTTATTGTGAATTATGCGCTTGCTTTTTAGCCAAACAGAAAGGGAGAAATATTTTGAATGAATACAAAAGAGGATAAAGGGGCTAAGAGAATTAACTCCATATAGGCCCTATACCGTTGTAATCCCTCTTGAGATTTATTTTAGATCTTCTCTGAGGTCTGTTGTTCCCAAGAGGGTTGAGTGATAGCAATAATATGTCCTTCATTTTACCAATGTTCACAGGTGGGTAAAGGCCCACGCAAATGTTTCGCGACGTTCGCGAATCAGCTGTTACGTTGGCGGAAGACGTAGGTTACGTTAAAAACACTGCAGCCATAGAAAAACGAGTCGCATGAATACGTTTTGTGGACGAATGCGACTGCAGGGAAGTGAGTGTAAGAAAAAGTACAGTCGCATAGACTGTAAAGCTTCAAATAATCGTAACGAAAGAACTACAGGACATCACGCTCCAGTCTAAGGACTCACTTGATTGAATCAAGAAAAACAAAATGGATAGTATCAGCCGCTGAAGAATGTGATTGGTGTATCTTCGGGCAACGATTCGGATCTGAAGATAATTTACCATGAGAATTCGGTATCCTGCAAACAGTGAGGAGCTTCTAGCGTCTAGCGTCAGAACATACCTTTACGGACCAAAAGCTACGCGCAGGTAGCTATTCAGGACCATTCAGATATATGCACTTTGGGGAAACCAAATAAACTAAAATCACTGCTGAAAAGTTATTGTAATAAATCTGCAAGAAATAGCTTAAGATCTTAAAGAGGTCAAAGAAAATTAGTGCTTAACAACTGCATCTGATCGATCAAATTTATCCTGTGCAAACCACAATGTCAATGTATGACACCACGGAGACTCATTAGAGAGGCCAAATTGAAATATTTGCTCAGTGAAGAATTAAAATACACCTCGCACTGCATGACCTACGAGCTAAAAAGAAAAAAAGGAAAACCGTTGTTGTTTTGAAGCACACTCGAACTTCACATGTGCCGAACCTAATACCTTATATTTAGGTAGACCCAAACTATTAAGTTCGACTGTTGATTCAGACGATCGAACTTTACATGTACCAAATCTAACCGGTGGTGAAAAGAAATATCATCCTTACTGCTTAAAACAGGGAAAATAACATTCACCAAACCTGGAAATTCCTGTTTTGATTTTGGTGTCATTTGTGTTCTGTTATGGCATCTGTTTGAGAGGACAGCTGAGGAAATCGTGATCGTGATCTTTGGGCAAAATATAAAGTAACGCCATAAATTAATTTCTTTATGGATGTAAAGAAAACCAACTTTTACAAGACCGTTTTAAGCTGTCCAGTTTCAGTCTAAAAATATGCAACGTGAATGCTGGTAACCGTCGTTAAGCTTCTGTGAGTTCTGTCTGCACAGGGACGAAACCCAATAAACAGCCAATCAGAAGCGCTGCTATATTAAAAAATACGTTAACATAATTTATGCATTAGGTTTGGCACATGCGAAGTTCGACGTATGAATCAAAGTCGATCTTTTGCCATTCTATATTCGACAAGCTCAGTCGAACAGAACGGCAGAGTCGACCCAAATACAAAAGTGCCGTTCCTAAATGATCCATACGTCGAACTTTACATCTGCCGAACCTAATAATTAGGTTAGGCGCATGTAAAGTTCGACGTTTAAACCAAGCCTAAGGCGGTCACGTTTCACACTATCACGAGCGTATGGGTCGTGTTTTGCTTGTCAACACTTTATCTCAAACTTAATTTCCTTTGTGAATCTTTTGACCGTTTTCTGTTTCTCGATACTCATGCCGACTTTGATACATGCTCAAATAAAGAAAAAACTCTCAAAAAACGATTTTCATTTCGCTTTAAGAGAGGATAACTCTCCCACTCCCGACTTGCTTTTGCACTTTTATTCCTCCACGTAGCTTCCACGCAACGCGCGAGGAAATATTATCCGCAGGAAAACCGATACGTTCAAAAAATAACTTTAGAGGGATTACGATGGTTATAGGGGGCACCGCAGAAATACGTTTTTGAAGGCGCGATACAGTATTTTGCTGGTCAGCGTCATCTCTTTTTAAAATTCAAAACACCGGTAACTTTGAATTGGTTTTCAACGCGAGCCCGGTAGGCGATAAAAAACCCCAAAACTTAGAGCGAAAACTGAAAACTTAATCTTTAAACTTCGCCTCTCGTTTCCTTCTTCCTTTTCACACATTATATATTGTGCCAAAGACAAACTGTGCTTGCACAGCGAGTGAATTTTTTGAAAGTTTGCGGCGCCATAGTCTTCGTGACACGATGATCGATGTTGTGTGCAAAGGCCAAAAACAAGCATATTTCCAAAAGGCTGTAGCTATATAGCGATGCCCTATTAAGGACATACCAACCTTCAAGTATGCAGAGCTGGTGAGCTGGAGCCGTTTGAAATGGTTTGCCAGGGTTACTTCGATTTGATACGAAGACAAGACGACCCCTTCAACTTGGTGACACGCTGCGAAGTTGCACGTTCATACCATCCCGTGCAAGTATTTCAAACTCTATATAAAGCTGGTGCTTTGCTGCCGAATTACACGTTGGTCTAATAAGTGCCGAATTGAAGCGCCATAGAAGTCAAACAACTGGCCAAAAGTGAGAAAAAAACCGAAAAGATCGCGACAAAAAATCGTAAACAAGATCACACGGAGGTAAGTTTTCGAATGACCATTTTTTTGTTCGATGCTGTAAGAAATCTGTAATGAAACCTTCATTCTGGTTTATGTATAAAGGATAAGTATTTCAATGCATTATTTCTTTTTCTTTTCAGGAATTCTTTTTTCTATAATATTGATAATACAAAGTTTGAAAATTATTTACAAAGTTGTTTTGAAATTCTTTTTGTGTTATCAAAGTTTAAAATAATTATTATCCATTGTTATGAATGCAGTAAACATTTTAAGTGAGCATATAAATATTTCTTATTGACACCACTTAATGGTCTGGGGCAGGATTATTCACATAAGTTACCAACAATAAGAGTTGTTAGTTTTGTGAGAACCTAAGGAGTTTTGTTGCAAACAAAATTAAATGTCTCTGTAATTTCCATTAATGCTGTCCACTCATTTGTGCCTGAAGTGATGTGAAGCAGAGAAGGCTGATGGTCCTCTGGTTATGAATACAGTGGCAACCAAGAGTTTTGTTTGGAGTGAATGTTTTATTAAAAAAAACACAAGATGCCAAATTGCAAAACAGTCCACAAAATAAATTTAAAAAAGGTGGTAAACAAGCATAGTAAATGACCATCTGAAGGAGGAAACAAAGTTGTCTGTGTGGAACAAACCAATAATTATTATGCACCAGAACCACAAACCACAGTATGTGGAAAAATACCTCTCTCGATGAGGTGTGCTTCTCTAGCGCTGCGTACACTGACATGTTCCACTCTTGTGTCCCATCAGCAGAGTTCACACTACTGATTGATCAGAGAGGACCAGTTTGGTCCCATGTTGTTAAAATACCTGTTACCTAAGTATTTTCTGTATTGCTCAATATTTTTAAAGGAATTATAAACTATGTTTTGTAACAAATAGTTAAGCATGTATGCTATTTATGTCTTTCCCTCCTTTATATTACAAAAAACTGGGATACTACACAGATGCCATATGGGTGAAAATGGCTTTGGGACACACCATAGCCGGCTTTAATTTTATTGTAATAAACAGAATCACATGACTTGTGTAGAAAACAGGTTTATCAAGGGTACTTTCACCACATTGGCTACATAAAAATTTTCAGCCCAGTACATTGTAAAGGTGAGGGACTAAAAGGCCAAATAAAAGAACATGAGGACAAGGCAAAGGGAAGAAGGTAGGGAAAAGGTTTCGATGTTCTTTCACACTGAAGTAACAAGGCAGAATGACACAAAACTCTGCGTCCACATGTGATCAACAATGCGCTCTATAGGTGGGGGTACAAAGGATTACCCCCAACCACTCACCCTGTCCTTAATTGATAATCACTTAAATTCATGTGCAAAACTCATATTAATTTTATTGATTAAAACTACTTCTCGGGTAAAGACATAAAAATTCTATTTGTAAACAAATATTTCATTTAAAAGCCACAACTCTAATGGGCCATCAATTCATTTGACAGAACCAACATTCAAACAACAAGTTGATGATTTAAGCAAAGTCATAAGTTAATATGGACAAAATGAAAAGCATGACTGACATGAATGGAAGTTTATAGAAACAGAAGAAAAAGAAAAATAGCCAAACGCACTATGTTTATTTTTTAAATACATCCATTCTCTCTTTTCAATTTGTGACATTCTTTTTCCATCTACTGCTGCTCGTTTAAATCTCTTTTGCTACTATCTGTAAGGCGAAATAAAAATTAAATTAAACTTTTTAAGTTGATAAATATAGTTAAAGAATAAAACAAGTTAAAACTGATAAATTGCTAACATCTAATGACCGCCTGTACGAGACCATCATCCCAACCCCATTCTATTAAAAGTGAATGCAATTTTGTTGTATATATGCAAAAACATTTGCCCCAACCTCATTCTAAAAAAGAACAAACAATGCATACCGTACTTCCTCGAATAATAGCCACGGGTCCCTCAATTAATCGCCTACCTCGAATAATCACCCCCTAAGACAGAAATATTTCAAATAATTGCCTTCCTCAAATAATCCCCCCGCCACCCTTCTTGCCATCTTCTATTTGTTAAATCCCCTCCCTGGAGTCTGGTGTGGCAAAACTCATCAGTGACCATTCAAGCTCTGATGCTGAGGATATTGACAATGAAAGGTAATCAAGGAACCAACTCGGGAGCACTAAAAAAGCCCATGTTCAGTTTATTTGATGTGATCATTTGTTGATTCAATGGGAAAATAAAACAAAATATTTAGTGGACGACTTCCAGTGAGCAATGTTTAAAATAATCACCTCCCTAAAATAATTGCCTTCCCTTGAATAATTGTGCGAAAATAATAATAATCGCCCCCGCTATTATTCAAGGAAATACGGTAAACCTTCCAGAAACTTGGAATCGGGAGAGTCATAGCAAATTCTGGATGTATTTGGAAGTACAAGGAGGAAGGAAGCACAGTGATTAAGAAATGGCTGTCTAAATAAAAATATTATTATTGAACTGTCAAGGCGAAATCGACATTGAACAACAGATACGGACAAGCAATTATTTATACACCCTTTGTTAGTTGCTGACTAATAATAAATAAGGTGCTTCCATGCTCCATGAGGAAGAAATGGCTTCATTATTAATTTTATAAGCTGATCAAAGGACAATGTTGAATAACGAGCAATAAAATGGACTGTTATAAATGTACTTTATTTTGAACGACTACTGTACGGTAAAACCCTCTTTCCCCCCCACCTCCTTACCAAGAAAAATAAAGACCACTGTCACTACCCTTAGGCATAAAAATAGAACCTGGAACCTTAAGCTGCTGGTTTGATTATTGAACTGATGTGTGGTCATTGAATCGATGTGTAGTCATTTTTTCTTTCTTAACATGCCTAGTGTATATATGTTTACTGAACTCATGTTGTGGTTAATGAACTATTTGTCTTTATTGAACGATGAAAAAAAGAAGTCGACGGCTAAACCAAGTCGACAAAAGCACGGTTATGAAAGCTTAATACTAACTTACGACAAAATATCAGAGTTGTAAAATGATGGTAAAAACGGCAGCTGAGCTGAGTAAGCTTAGCGTCTTGAAATAAAATTGTTGATAAATTCTCAAAGTGTCTTACCTCTATCGCATGTTATGAATGCAAATGCTACACTTAAAAACCTTGCCAGTGTTCAAAATCTTCTGCTTCTCTGGCTCTCCATTGTAGCTTCTGGTACATTTTTCCGAAGGCAATTCAAACTGACTCGACGCAACGCTACACGAAGTAAAACTTACTTCGCTTCAGCTGTATTTACAAGTCCTTTAGCTCGGTTTACGATCTATTAAAGAAAGCTAGTCTCAAAAAAGCGAAGACTGCCCGTTTAATTCCACGATAAAACCGACCTCTACGTTTTAAAAACACATCTAGGCTAAGCAGCGAAGACGACAGCGAAGACAAGAAAGCGATCGAACGAACTCAAATACCGCTGACCAGGTGTTGTGACGTCACAAAACGTATTTCTGCGGTGCCGTTATAGGGCCTTTATGGGGGATTAATTCTCTTAGCCCCTTAGTCCTCATACTTCATTTTTCCCTCATGCGCAGTGCGTTTCGCCACTCTGTTTGCGAGGACTCCCGCTTTCGAGTGAAATTTCGCACTACGTCAGTGGCCTCCAATTTGCACACAAATCATTTCATCGCTGCGTGCTGTGTTCGAATTTCAGGATGACCATTTTCGACGTCATTATTTTTATTTGCGTAGTGGTTTTTGTACTGTGGAGCTTACTATACTCTGGCCGTGAGGTGAGAAAAACAATTCTACTAAAACATATTCAAATATGTAGTTCCATTACGTGATCTATAGGCACAGGTCACATATGTTCTCGTAACTTTTGGATATTTCACTTTTTCTATGTAATCGTTTTGCAAATACATGAAATAAATTAGGTAACAATCAACAAGGACAAGGACAAATGAATGGGTATGTAATATTTCGCTCCGAAATTTATTAAGCCGCTGTAAGTTTCATACACTAATGACTTAAAGGTTCGTGTTTTAATCACCTTACATTTACGTTCACAGCAAAGCGTCTGAAGTTTCTTCAGCAGAAAATTGTGTCTAATTTGGTAATGAGTTTTAGTTGATATGGGTGAATTCAGTGCCGTTGTGCCGCTTAAAGGTTCTTAAAGGTTTACTAAGCCATCAGCAGAAAGGAGTTCCGCTTTCGATTTCATCTGCACAATCCTTACATACCGGAATATTAGCTTACTTACAGTTTTCTCAGAAACGAAAATTGAATCGGGTAGGTCTCAACACTCGACAGACTTTCATGACACTCCAGAAAAAAGTAAGGTATACTTGTGCACTCCATTTAATCACAATGCATACAATCAGTGATGCTGAACCGAATGACTTACCTTAAGAAAATATACCTTTAAGACGGGATTCTTGAAACTTCCAGATAATCAGACAATTCATGGAAGGGAGAGATCATTAAGATCGAATTTCAATTAGTGCTTTAAACAATCTGCATTTTTTAGGTTTCTGCGTCTGTCAGTTTACAAGCATTTGGTTATCGATTTTCAACCAAATTTCAAAGCGCAAAATGAAAAGAAGAATTATTTACCGGCCGCGGTCCGGTTTTTACTCACAATTTGTTTGTAACAAATAAGTGATGTAACAACAGATGTCAAGACAGTTTCATTTACCCTTGGAGTGATCTACATTATATGAATAAATATGCAGGGGTAAAAAGCTTTTAATCGAGATTCGCGCACTAGGCGATCATCGGACCAAACACTACACCGGACAATCCGCTGGATATCTGGAACCTCTGATTAAGACATATCATCCATCAAGAGCACTAAAATCATCATCCCGTTCGCTATTATGCACCCCAGCCATAAAATCTAAAACACATGGAGGACGTGCGTTTTCCACTGCAGCCCCTCAGTTATGGAACACTATCCCAGAATTAATGTCAAAAATGCAGACAGTGTTGCAAACAAACAAACAACAATCTTTATTTGTACTCACTCTTTCTCAAAAATAAATTACAACAATGAAAATATCAAAAGCAAAAATTAGAGTACTGGCTGCCTGGATTAACCATGGGGGCTAGCTAGCGGAGCCAGGCAGCCAGTTGACATCAGCAGTAAATATAATTAAGTTACAGGTCAGCAAGAAAACTGAAGCACAAATGCACACATAAAAAAAAAAGAAAAAAAAGGGAGAAGAGGAAAAACGCTATTTCTACGCTATGAAGGAAGTCTAAAATAGTTAAATTTAGAAATGAATACAAAACATTAATATAGGAAAAACTTTAAAAGGTGACAGAATTTAACAAAAAGCTAATTTACAGGTAATTTGGGAAACAACACAACTGCTAATAAGAATACAAGTAACTGATAATCTTTGACAAGATCGCTTTTTACTGATTCCTCGAAGTTTGAAATAGAGAAGTTTTTTACATTTTAATTGCCACGTTTAAAACAAAACTTAAAACATTTTTATTCAGGAAATATTTCCATTGATTTTTATGCTTAACATTTTTTTAGTATTTTAAAATTTACAGTACTTGATGCATAATATGTCACATAGGCTAGAGATTTTTCTTATTTTTCTCTTTCTCTTATTGATAATGTAAAACTCATTGGGGACAGAAATGCGCTTAATAAACACCTATATTATTATTATTATTATTATTATTATTATCATTATTATTATTATATAACACTAAATATGCATAGACAGGTTTCATTTCAAAGTCAAGTTTGATATACAAATATATTTAAGCACGGTTAGAGAGGTATTTCGTCGCCGGGTTGGCTGCCTAGTATAGAACCAGTGTTTTCAGTCATGGTAGTACTTCATGACGAGTTCTAATTTCTTGTTTAAAAGAGAAACGTCAATCGCAGTTAAGATACAGAAATGTTTTAAAGTTATTTTTGCAGTCAGACATATCGAGACAAAGATTGCAGTTGGGGGGGGTTCCTTTGTAAGAGTTTGCTCGCTTGTGTGCCGCGGTCTGAGCTGGAACGCCCTACGCAGTTTTCCACTTAGTTGATTTAAAGTTGCCCTTGGCATTATCATCATTGGTTGATCTTTAACGTCGTCGTGATTCTCATCAAAAACTTATTCGACAATTTAACAATACGTATACTTGTTATCACTGAAAATTCACAATCACATTTAGAGTCAATACTGAAAGTTACCGGGAATCTTAGTTGGCATTTTAACGATTTTATACTAGTATTCTTTTTATGTTGTGTGTAAAAGAAGCTTTTCTTCAGCACGAAATGATCGTTTCGTTCAATATTCTCCACCACTCCACGGAATTTGTGGAAGAACTCCTTGACTCTGTACTGTATCAAGGGATTTAAGTCACCATTGCACAGTTTTTGTTTTTGTTTTGTTTATTTGTTTGTTTGTTGTTGTTGTTGTTGTTTTTTTCATTTTACGTATGACTGCATAACATGCTTAAGATCATCCAGAAACGATTAAAGTGTAAACGGCTGCAACGTAGACTAGAAGTTCATTGATGTCCTTAAAACGTTTGTCGCATTCCGTTGCTTTCAACTTTCACCGTCGCGATAGGCCAGGTTACTAGTACTTAGCGTGACTTAGACCTTTCTTAAAGCGTTTTTGCGTTGTTCGGATGTCTGTACTCCTCGTTTTGTTCTCACTGCTATCCGTGTATTCCATCGAGAGCTTCGAATGTGTACCGCTCTTCCAATCTATTCTTGAAATCTGTGAATCGTGAACATCTCTCTCAGCCAGATGATCAACAGAATCGTATGACTTTCTCATATTGATCCAGCCCGTGCTCAAATTTTGTTTATATCTTTGGCTGGCCTACATGAAAAATCGTGCGATCTATAAGCAAATAATCCATCTTCCGCCACATTCTTTCTTAGCCCCTCTCTGATCCTTTTGCACGAGACTGTTCTTGTCAACGGTGTCTGTTCACTGAGTCGAGAAAGCAGGTGGAAACCACTGATGCTTTCCATTATGTCAAAATGTCCGGAAATTTCGGTCCAAACGTATAAATGGAACGGTTCGTCACAGGTGGAAATTTTACGGTCAAAGTGGTCCACCTCCAGAGGTGGTCCTCTTTGACAGTCGGTCCGGTCCGAGCGAAAATTGCCGTTCTATTTTCAGAAATTTTTGTTTCCAGTCCTGCTCCAGCTCGATCGTCACCACAGTCAAAATGGCGGATGGTTCAAATGTAAGTGTTTACGAGTGCAGTGTGTGTAAGCGTCAGACGCAAGACGTAAACTTTCTCCTCATGCACAGTTGTACACAAGGCTCAGGTACAGCAGAACATCTTAATTTGTTTTTTCTTGTGGTTTTTGTCAGTTTTTAAAGACAAATATATTACTGGCTTCTCCGAATGTTGACGATGTTTTCCCGCGTTTTTCTCTTAGCGGTATGTGACCCTAGCCCTTACGGCATTGACAGTCAGTGCGAAAAAGATCCACAGCTCAGTCCAACAACCTCCACTAGTTTAACCAAAGCCCTGGAAAGATTGAAGGACACATACATCCGTTTACTTATTGCAAGCTACCTGAAGTTCAAAGACGAATTTGGGAAGTCACATATTACCCAACAACTCAAGTAGATTAAGGCCTGGTTCTAAGTCATTTGTGATTTTTACGCAAATTTATCCAACAACCATTGTTAAAGACATCCTCCAGGAATAACAGATGGTAAGGTAAACTAACTTTAAAAAGAACTTGAAAAAAGAAGTCCAAATTACCAGGTCACGTGATCGACCACGCCCTCTTCTATTCGAGCAACCAACGATGCCCACTACTTCCTAAAAGAGGAGCTCCAGTTTCTCTGTATCAAAACTTTGACCCTATAAAGTGTCTACGAAATCAGCCTGGAATTTGTAGGTGCGATTGGTGTTCATTGAGTGAATGACTTCGTCTCATTCCTCCCGTTTTTACAAGAAGACTATCAGCAGCCACTGTTTGGACCTACAAAAGGAAAGCGGTTTGTTTTCTATATAGTGGGCATTTCGACCCAAAGAATTTCTCGATAAAAGAGCGCGTGACTGGTCACGTGCTGCAATTATAAACAGTTTTTAAGATGAAATTTGAAGATTTCTAAGTTCTAATCGGCTTAATTTATTAGACCTCGGATATCTTAAAAAACCTTTACATTAGACCACCCCCTTTAAAATTCTGAGGAATTTGTAAAGAACCAGGCCTTAATCTACTTGAGAATCAATTCGGTCGAACTTTTGGTTCCAACCGGTTAGTCCGAGTGGTCTCTGACCGGTCGGTCCGGTATAATGGAAAGCACCCCACTTGTAGGGGGTGTTCAGGCACGTGATTAATTAGACGTTTCATTGTCGCTAGTGAACTCTTCATGTTTAGGAATATAGTTGGTCTCTTACCACAGTGAGATGTCATGATCTGTTCCTGCAAACAATGTTTAAGAAACACTCTACCACAACCTCGTCCTAAGGACATTTCTGTGAGAAAATGGGAAGGTGGAATCGTGTCTGGCATGAATATTCCCGAGAATATAATTTATGCAACCCGCTGGATATACCTCTTATTAGCCGAGTTTTCGGTCCGTACTGTAAATTTCGGACCGAGTTTTGTTCCATCGATTTATGGCCCAAGGGCGAAGCGACATTCAACGAGAATACCGTAAAATTCCGAAAATAAGCCCCTCCATGTATAAACCCCTCCGAATATACCTTCCTCTCCCCCCAGCCCAGGCCTATACTTGGAAAATTGCCCTCAAATACAAGTAAAACAAAGCAAAGCCGGTAAATTTACTTCCGACTGTAAGACTAGCCCAATCGATTTTGAAACGCAAATTTGTTTCCGTACATAAACCCTTCCGAATATAAGCCCCTATAAAAATAAGCCCCTCAAAAAAGGCCTTTGTAAAATATAAGCCCCGGGACTTATTTTAGGAATTTTACGGTAGTTTTTCTCCAAGAGTTTTTCTCGTAATAAAAGTGAAAAACATCTCGGAAATTGGCGTGGAATAGTTTCGTTTGTTTCATTGTCGACGAAGAAAACTTTTGTCTTCTATTTGAGCTTAATATTCAAATAAACCGGCCATTACTTAAATTCATTCATTTTCAATTGTGCATTTAGAAAAAACAGTTAAGATCACTTGTAGTTTTTGGATTACCTCATATCCTTACACTCAGTATATCTTTAACACAAGTTCCAATTCGACCAGGAATCAGGTAGACGAAGAACCACTATGTGGATGGGCTACCTGCAAATCGTTATTTATTTTAAGTACTAGTTCTTATTAATAAGCTGATACTACGATTTCGTTATCATTTCGCGGTGTGTGGCGGCAAATTTTAGAATTTTGGAAAGATTTGAAATAAAAAGGCCGTCAAAATGATGACAATCTCAGTTTGTATATACACTCTTTTTTTTATAACAATGTTGTTTTTCCGGTCCAGGCTGAATATTCTTATTTTTCTGCCGATTTTAGGCTAAAAATATTCTTGTATTATTCTTAAATTATAGCTTATGGCATTTCCGTTTTAGAATTTATTGGGGTATATGTATATGTATTACATGTACCGTTCATCGAACTGACATTAGCGTTGAACATTTTGCTATAGCTAGTGCAGGTTTTTTCGTTTTGTTGGCTAGTTTCGCCGTTCAGAGAAAGGAATAATTTTATGCGGTTAAGTTAAAAACATTGTATTGTATTTACAGATGTTTCAACACACAAAATTATATCTATCCTTTTCAAAATCTCAGCCTCCGCTCTATTCTTAAAATATTCTTAAAATTTCGCAAATTTCAGCCTCGATATTCTTATAAAATATATTCTTATATAAAAAAAAGAGTGTAATAAAAACAATACCACATGGAAAGTGCGTCATACTGTATGTACGCAAGTGTCGTCGTTTTTGTATCAGAAATCGAACGAGTGAGAGTTCTGATACGTTCACTTTTTTTTATTATTTGAGTGTCAATGTATTTAGCACTAAAGTGCTAATTGGGGACACTATTTTTACGTCTCCTAATGGAGACGGTACCGCCATTTTACGTGGTCATCCGAGCCACGCGAAGGTCTAGCCGCTTGCAGTGCAAAGGAAGTACCTTCATTTCTCAGTCAGTTTTAAGACCCTGAGTAATGGTCCGGCCCCGGGAATCGAACCCACGACCTCCCGCTCTTCAGTCAAACGCTCTACCGACTGAGCCAGTCCTGCCACGTCAATAACTCGTGCGTAAATACCGTACTTCCGCTCTTTCCATGAAGTAATCTCTATTTCTTCTTCACAAAACTTGTATAAACTTCCACCATATTCTCCAGGGCCCAGTTGCTAGAAGCATGGTTAGCGTTAACGAGCGTTTAATACCTTGACAACGTATTGGTTTTGATACTGCTTAACCAATGGTTAAAGCTAACCATGCTTTGAGCAACTCAGCCCAGCTCAACCAAAACAACAGAGCTACCGGGTCTTCTACTGTCGATATTTCTTTCTATTTTCGTTGGTAAGTTTGCCCCGAAATGGTCGCGCGGGCCCCATAAATTAGCACGTTTTCCCTCCTGGGCTCCTCGCATAAGCTCTGGGTATTGAGAGTAGTATTTAAATGCTTTGCCATCATCAGATTGCTGTGTTATGCATTCATGCCACGAGATGTCATGTACTTGCGTTTTTTGTTTTGTGCCGTTCTTTCGTCGCTGAGCATACCTCAGCCTGAACCAAGTGCTGGTGGTGAAAATCTCGAACCGCCCGCTGACGAGGTAGGCTGTATTCTTTCGCTTGTTCTCCGTTGTTCTGCTCCCTCTGGACGTTCTGTGTGTTATGCAGAATCAAGGCTCGCCAAGGTTGTTTTGGTAAACGTACGTCTCCTTTTCTGTAGGTCTTGCGGCGTTTGTCTTCTCTCCTGTTTGTTTTCGTGGCGAGTGATTGCTTGCAAGTCAGCCTTTCCCGCGTACGTCGCCTTTCTAACGGTGTTTTACTTTTGGCCGTATGCGCTCTCTAAATTAGTTTCCATGGTGTGTGTCGCTTTCAGACTAGATTTTATGGCGGTATCACTCTCTATTTAATTTTCATAGCGTGTGTCGCTTTCGATCGAGTTATTTTCATTACCGTACGTCGCTTTCAAGTTTTTTTTGGACGTGTGTCGTCTTCAAGTTAGTTTCCTTGGCGTGTGTCGCCTTCAAGTTGTTTATACGGCGTGTGTCGCCTTCCAGTTAGCCTTTCCTGGCGTGTGTCGCCTTCACTCTTTATGGGTTTCATGGCGTCCTTCGTATTTTGCTCTCCATTTAGTTTTATAGCGTGTGTCGCCTGCAAGTTGTTTTTATGACGTATGTCGCCTCCACGTTGTTTGGTCTTGTTTCATGGCGTGTGTCATCTTCCGGTTAGCCTTTTCTGGCGTAGCCTGCGAAAACATCCGTTTCTCCTCGCTCTTCGCCGCTGGGGACGTTTCGCGCGGAGGAACGTCTGCGACTCAGCGACAGAAATTCCATACTGATGACGCAAATCAGCGTTTACTTAATAAATCCGGTAGTCGTGGGGCTCCAAATGTAAATTTATTCAATTTTAGGTTTCTACTGATCGATTTTGGTAAAGTGTTGTGTTCATCTGCTAACGAGCTCCAGCAAAACTCAAATGCTTGTTGTAGAGAAGACTATATTCCACAAATATTGACTGTTTTGTTAGAGATTCATCGCGTTTACATTTGACCTTTGTGGCCTTTTGTCTTTTGTCTGTCATTCGTAAACAATAGCTAAAACAACTGTAACTACTCCGTCGACCAATCAGGGCTTCTGACCGGATTCTGGACATATTTTATGTCATCAGTATGGAATTTCTGTCGCTGAGTCGCAGACGTTCCTCCTCGCGAAACGTCCCCAGCGGCGAAGAGCGAGGAGAAACGGATGTTTTCTCAGGCTATTTCTGGCGTGTGTCGATTTCACTCTGACTTTTTTCATGGTGTCTTTCAGTATTTTGCTCTCCATTTAGTTTAATAGCGTGTGTCGCTTACAAGTTGTTTTCACGGCGTGTGTTGCCTTCACGTTGTTTTCACGGCGCGTGTCGCCTTCAAGTTAGCGCATTTCTAGCGATAGACGCTTTCAGAGTAGATTTTATGATGGGGTTCCTGGATAGGCCTGATTGGTGGCTCCCCTTTTCCCCTTATTTGCTTCTTTTTTCCGGTTCTGTGTAATGCTATCACATGGGGTACATGTGCGTTGCCTTCGTGGTAATGTATTTCCAATTTTCTTGCTTTTAGGCACCACCGTTGAACCTTCGGTTAAAAACGCACAAGTTTGCGTCAAATTTGATCCCTCCTGGTGTAGCAAAAAAGGAGAGCCCTTCAGCTGGCCTCTAGGAGAGTCTATCCCATATCCCTCGCTTTCCCTTAGGGTGAGCTTCTGAAGTTGGGGTGGTATATGACGTTTTTTTGCCGGGGTTGTTGGCTAAGGACCTGTTTACATGGAAGTGGAAATTATTTTCGTCCGTATCTTAGTACCCCCCGCGTGTGCCATAGAGGTGCAGCATAACAATGAAAATTCTCCTACAATTACCAGTAAAATGTAGTCACGTTTATGGATTACGGCCGTAAACATC